GGCATCACCGACTCAGTGGACATGGGTTTGGGTAGACTCCGGGAGTTGGTAATGGACAGGGAAGCCTGGCATACTGCAGTTCATGGGGTCGCAAAAAGTCGGACACGACTGAGCAACTGAACTGAACTGAACTGTCAGCATGTCAGATCTTGATACATATTATGAAGAATGGTGAGTAGGAATTGGAAATTTGCTTGGGGTGGCTTAGATAGAAAGATGACATTCAAAGAATGCCTCATCAACAGGACAAATACCTGTGTTAGGACCTCAATGTCCCTTCCTTACAAAGCACAGTGGTCCCATTCCAGGAAGGGAACACGAATTCAGCTACTCCACAACTCTCCTGACCAGGTTCAGCTCCTGAGCAGCTTGTCAAGAACCCATGCTTCCTCTCAAATGAGCATCAGGCTTATTTTCAGGGAAGGTGCAGCCAGTGTAATAACTGGTTTGACCTCTGATTACCCTTTCAGGTCACCGATTCAAGGGCACCTGCTGAGAAGTCCTAGCTACTCTACTTACTAATAGGAAAGAATTCCAAGCTAGATAACGAGAAAAGCAAGGGGCAGAACTTGAGAGGAATATAGCCATTGGCCATTTGAGTTAAAGGGGACACAGAAAATCCACATTTATATATGTGTTTGTATAAAGAAATTCTAGACACATAAGAAACTAATAACGTGGTTCTTTGTTATTGATGAGAGAATTTGATCAGATGAGAATTGTTTGAAGTAATATTGTTTCTTGTATTTTTACATATACAGTTATTAAAGTCTAGCAATAGATTACCTAACAGAAACCACAGAACAAAATATTAACTGTATTATCTTAAAGGGCCACAAGATGGCGAAAGCGTTTCTTGATTGTCGAGCCTGTGCGCTGGAAGAAGGGGACCACCGCTGCTATGAACTCCCCTGTGCAAATCGCCTCTCTCCTGGTTTCCTTAGTTCAATCTCCAGAATTTCTCTTTGCCAACATTTCATTCCTCTCATTATCACCTCTTATTGACTGGAAGAGAATTATGTTCGTTAATTGGTCCAGCTTTTTAAAGAAAACATTTTTCGGGGAAAGGGGCAGGGAGGCAGGGAAGGGACACATTGAAGTATACGCAAAAGTACACAGAAGAGAATAAGGTACTTCCAAGTGCTCATCAGGCAAAGCTTCAACAGTTAACCAACATCTCTTGTGCTGTTTCTTTATCCACCCACCGGGTACACTGTGGGGGAGGGTTACAGTGTAAAGAAATCATAAACATGTTGTTTCAATCATGAATATTTCAAACATCCCAACAGATACAGAATTAAACAAAATACAAGATTTTCTCACCTAAGAAAAATTTTAAATCATCCAATAGCTAGTACTAGAAAAAAAAATCTTCAGTTGCCTCACATATTTTATTTTTTTACAATGATTTTTCTGATTTGCATTCTTCTAGATGCTGGAGTAAAGAGATAAGATGATCAATCGGAGGTTAAGGAGACCTCCCTGCACAGAAACACGCCTTGGGGGTGGGGGTGGGGCAAAAGGGAGGGAGTGCCATCCCATAACAGCTGATGCCAAACTTTCCACAGGCCTCAGTGGTGGAATTCATCTTGAAGAAAAGATGTACTCTCATGTTGAGGCGTGTCCTAGAACGGGTCAGATGTGGGATTAGAATCAAGATAATTGGTCAAAGGTAAACACAGACCTGAAAGAACTGCCCTATATAAATTAACTGCCTCTTTACTATACTCCTCATTAGAAAGGATACCCACACCCTTTCTCTCTGGGTGGGTGTTTCTATCTTGCTTTTGTCTTAAAAAAAAAAAAAAAAGACAAACTTTCTCAGTGTGCTCTCCCACTTAGGTCTCTAAATAATAAATTTTGTACCTGTTTTTAAAGTTTTTGCTTCTTTGAGAAATATATTTTTTAAATAGAGGAAGAGCCAGAGGAACTTTGCTTCTAGCCTCTATCCCCTAGTGGGTTCCTGGTTTTCATCCAAGCTACCCAGGTCTGGATTAAAGATTTACTGAGCATGGCCCCACCCATCAGAACAAGACCCAGTTTCCCCCACAGTCAGTCTCTCCCATTAGGAAGCTTCCATAAGCCTCTTACCCTTTTCCATCAGAGGGCTGACAGAATGAAAACCACAATCACAGAAAACTAATCAAACTGATCACATGGACCACAGCCTTGTCTAACTCAATGAAACTGAGCCATGCCATGTAGGACCACCCAATACTGAGGGATCATGGTGGAGAGTTCTGACAAAACATGGTTCATTGGAGAAGGGAATGGCAAGCCACTTCAGTATTCTTGCCTTGAGAACTCCATGAACAGTACAAAAAGGCAAAATGATAGGACACTGAAAGAGGAACTCCCCAGGTCGGTAGGTGCCCAATATGTTACTGGAGATCAGTGGAGAAATAACTCCAGAAAGAATGAAAAGACTGAGCCAAAGTGAAAACAGTGCTCAGTTGTGGATGTGACTGGTGATGGCAGTAAAGTCTGAGGCTGTAAAGAGCAATATTGCATAGGAACCTGGAATGTTAGATCCATGAATCAAGATAAATTAGAAGTGGTCAAACAGGAGATGGCAAGAGTGAACATTGACATTTTAGTAATCAGTGAACTAAAATGGACTGGAATGGGTGAATTTAATTCAGATGACCATTATATCTACTACTATGGGCAATAATCCCTTAGAAGAAACGAAGTAGCCCTCACAGTCAACAAAAGAGTCCAAAATGCAGTACTGGGGTGCAATTTCAAAAATGACAGAATGAACTCTGTTCATTTCTAAGGCAAACCATTCAATCACAGTAATCCAAGTCTACTCCCCAACCAGTAATGCTGAAGAAGCTGAAATTGAATNCAATGCAAATAGAGGAAAACAATAGAATGGGAAAGACTAGATATCTCTTCAAGAAAATGAGAGATACCAAGGGAACATTTCATGCAAAGATGGACACAATAAAGGATATAAGTGGCATGGACCTAACAGAAGCAGAAGCTATTAAGATGAGGTGGCAAGAATACACAGAACTATACAAAAAAGATCTTCATGACCTAGATAACCATGATGGTGTGATCACTGGACTAGAGCTAGACATCCTGGAATGCGAAGTCAAGTGGGCATTAGGAAGCATCACTATGAACAAAGCTAGTGGAGGTGATGGAATCCCAGTTAAGCTATTTCAAATCCTAAAAGATGATGCTGAGAAAGTGCTGCACTCAATGTGCCAGCAAATTTGGAAATCTCAGCAGTGGCCACAGGACTGGAAAAATTTTCATTCAGTTTTCATTCCAATCCCAAAGAAAGGCAATGCCAAAGAATGCTCCAATTATGGCACAGTTACACTCATCTCACATGCTAGTGAGACAAACGGCCTCAAGTTTCTCTGCGTTCATTGAACCGCAAAAAGCCATGTTTCGTCTCCTGTTGTTTCCTATTTTATGAATATAGGGCAAAAGGAAAGCAGTACCCTAATTAGAAGCAAGGGCTTCCCTAGTGACTGAAGTTAAAAGCTTCTGCTTCCAATGCGGGAGACCTGGGTTCGATCCCTGGGTCGGGAAGATTCCCTGGAGAAGGAAATGGCAGCCCACTCCAGTATTCTTGCCTGGAGAATCCCATGGATGGAGGAGCCTGGTAGAACCCAGTCCATGGGGTCGCAAAGAGTCGGACACGACTGAGCGACCTTACTATCTATCCATCTAATTAGAAACAAAGCGATAGTATTTCTCAGTGTGAAAATATCCATCAGGTTCCTTACTCTCCAACGAAGTAGCCGAAAATGTTTATTCAAGGAGCTTGTGAGTGCTGGGCTGGGCGGCAGTTAGGCGGCTAGTCCCGTGCGCAGAAACCAGCGGTTCCTTCCCCGATGCCGGCAACCAATCAGGATGTGGGAGGAAGGGCTGGCGCTCACCCGCCAAATTTAAACTTCCCGCCTAACCTCTGCCCGCAGGCAGGACTCAAAACTCCTTGTCCCAGACCGGCGACTAGGAAGTATATGTGTTATGAATGAAAGTTCTCTTACTTAGTCCTAATGGCTATCAGAACAAGTAGCAGAGCTCTTTTTACATGCAGGAAATTCCTGAGTAACAGTAAAGATCAGAACCAAAATTACACAAGGAACTTCAGAGCTTTGCCAGTCAGGTAACGTTATATTTGTCACTAGTGGGTCTCGAGCTTACTGTGCCCAAAAGAAGATTGTTCAGGAACTGCTCTACCTCGCAAGACAGAAAGAGAATAAGCATCAGCTCTTTCTCTGAGAACGTGGGTGGCTCTTAAAAGAGCCGTTAAAATCGTTTGCAATCGACTCACAGTTTACTTGGCACTAGTATACTTGGTGACGGCCTTGGTGCCCTCGGACACCGCGTGTTTGGCCAGCTCCCCGGGCAGCAACAGGCGCACGGCCGTCTGGATCTCCCTGGATGTGATGGTCGAGCGTTTGTTGTAATGCGCCAGGCGCGACGCCTCGCCCGCGATACGCTCGAAAATGTCGTTCACAAACGAGTTCATGATGCCCATGGCCTTGGACGAGATGCCGGTGTCCGGGTGGACCTGCTTCAGCACCTTGTACACGTAGATAGAGTAGCTCTCCTTACGGCTGCGTTTGCGCTTCTTGCCATCCTTCTTCTGCGCCTTGGTCACCGCCTTCTTGGAGCCCTTTTTCGGGGCCGGAGCGGACTTAGCCGGTTCAGGCATGATGAAAAACAGGTTAAACAAGTTTAGAAGAACGCACAGGAGATCCGTTGGGTCCTTTTTATATAGAACCTCTTATGCAAATAAGGTGATACGTTAATGTCTCACTCTTACTAATGGCTGTTCCAGAAGACGTCAGGAATTAGTTCTGCCCAATTAGAACGCAAGAATACCAATTCGCATTCCCATTGGCTAAAATGAAGCCACACTCCTAGCCAATGACATGTCTCTTTTTTCGCGCCTAATAAGGGCTATAAAAAAAGGCCACCCTTAAAATTTCACTACTTCGGTAGCTGTTTGGGGTGAAGTTAAGCTTACGATGTCTGGGCGAGGTAAACAAGGTGGCAAGGCTCGTGCCAAAGCCAAGACACGCTCTTCACGGGCCGGGCTCCAGTTCCCCGTGGGCCGTGTTCACCGGCTGCTCCGCAAGGGTAACTATGCCGAACGGGTTGGGGCCGGGGCCCCGGTGTATCTCGCGGCGGTGCTGGAGTACCTGACAGCCGAGATCCTGGAGCTGGCGGGCAACGCAGCCCGGGACAACAAGAAGACGCGCATCATCCCGCGCCACCTGCAGCTGGCCATCCGCAACGACGAGGAGCTCAACAAGCTGCTGGGCAAAGTCACCATCGCTCAGGGCGGCGTCCTGCCCAACATCCAGGCGGTGCTGCTGCCCAAGAAGACCGAGAGCCACCACAAGGCCAAGGGCAAGTAGCTGCCTGAATTATAGCAACTTCGATGAATCCAAACCAAAGGCTCTTTTCAGGGCCACCCATCTTTTCTGCAAAAGAGTTTGACATTTGTTAATAATGTTGGGTGGCAGAAAAATGCAAAACTTGGTAGGAATTTTTAGCTTCATATAGTGGCATCTATGGATTCCACGTCAAAAACCCAATTTGGTCAATTTAGCTCATTTTTCAACTAATGTTTTTCAGTGAAATTGCTTCTTATGTGGGATTTTTCAACACTTAATCTACTAATACCTCATAAAGGAAGAAAAGTCAAAAGATAACAGTTCAGCAATAAAACAAATTTCTAGTTCCTCCTCAAGGCATATAGAATCAAATACAATCTGAGTTCCGCAGGAAGGACCCCACCTAGGTGGAGGATGGAATGATAATTTTGCCCCTGATGACTTGAATCAACTAAAGCTTGGACTCTGTCAACCTTTGCCCCAATTCTATGCTGTTTTCTCCTCTGCTCCAGACCCTACATGAATATGCATATTCCCTTCGCTTAGAAACCCCCAATTTTGCTGTTCATGAAGAAGGAATTCATAGGGCCTGGACTCCATCTCAGGCCTGTCCGTGCTGATCGTGTTAGGCCGCCTCTCCAATGGACTCTGAACTGTGTGCTTAGCGCCTGTGGGAATGACTGGAAGGATAAGATCCCCTCTGGGCAGGGGAATCTTGAAGATCACATCCAAGTTACTTATTGCCTAAGAGAAAACAGACACTAATCACCCCTGCCTCTGGACAGTATCTATCGGAATGTAACCACAGGCTTATTGATTATTAACTGTTTGAACACAACACGTGAATGATGGGGTTATGGTGATTGTATTTACCCTTCCTTTGTAAGCCTCAAGGGATTTGGGCTGGTGGGTTTCGACACGTACACATGGGGTATAAAAGATTTTCACAAATGCTGGTCAGGGCCCTTGGCTAAGAGGAGACTGCCTTGGGCCTGCCTGTGTAATAAACTGCACTCCACTATCTGCATTGTCCTTCTGAGTGAGCTTGTTTCCCGGAAAGCATGGCTATAACATTCAGGGAGAAACTGCTTTGGTGTTCTCTTTAGTTGCTGCTTGTAATAAACCCTTTCTTCCTTCTGATCTTTGGCTTGGTTGTACCTTTTGGTTCGATACCCACCAAGGGCAAAACCCAGTTTTCAGATAACAAGTCTTGTAATAAAAGACAAATTCTAAAGAGAAAAGCATATTTCTTAACATGTGTACATCATGTAAACATGGAAGAAACCCAGGGGAAAAAATCCACCATCCAAGGTGTCTTTGAAGGCCAGGAGTTCTCTGGAGGCTTTCACTGCTGAAACTGTGAATTCATTTCCTATTGGGGGAACTAAGATCCCTCAAACTGTGAGGTATAGACAAAAAAATAAAAAAAGAACTCCACCATAAATACTATCTTCTGTTAAAGATGTGAGGAGGTCAGTTATGAAGAGGTTACCAGGGAAACAAGAGTAGATTCTTTAAGGCATATTTAAATTGATACCTTCTCTATTGTCTATTGGGATTAAAATTGTCCTTCCTGGTAGAGAGGAGGGACGTTTCTGTCAATTTGTGTCCAACTTTTAGGAAAATCAAAGGAAGACAAGAAGACTTTCTTGGATCTGCTTCATCTCAAATGCTTCAGTTGGGCAAATCAATCCTTGTGCTAAATGGAGCATCTTGGGGTGGCCTATTCTATCCTTCAATACCAACTACTAATATTTTGTTGATTTATACTGTTGTAAAAATAAAACTATATTAATAAAAAATCTGAACTCAGCCTTATAAATGATACACAGAGAATATTTCTAAACAAAAGTTTTAAAGCAAATTAAAGTTCTTTCATTACAATACAGGCTGCCCCAATGGCTCAGGGGTAAAGAATCTGCCTGCAGGGTGGTAGGACACACAGGAGACTCGGGTTCGATCCCTGGGTGGGTCCGGAAGATCCCCTGAAGAGGAGCCTGGCAGACCACAGTCCATGGGGACCTCCACCATTGCAATAACTTTAAAGTTTTTTGTTTTTTTTTTTTTTCATTTCAAATCCAAAGTTCTGGGTTAATAATGTAGTTAAACATTTTTTTTCTTTTATTTGTATTTATGCTACATTACAGACAGTTTGGGCATCTATTCATTTTGAGATAAGAAGATAAGATCAAGTTTAAGATCAAGAATATTTAAGGAAGATCAAGAGCAGAGAAAACAAGGGTTGAAAGAGAGTTCACGGAGACAGGAAGAGATCAGATCATGTAGGGCTTTATGATCATGTAGGTTTTATATGCTATGTTATGTTTTTACAAATCATTCCAAGGGTTTCGAATGAAGGAATAGCATAACCTAATTTACATTTCTTTGGAAGTTCACTAAGGCAACTATATGGTGAATACAAAGTTTAGAACTAATGATATAAATTAGGAAGCTATTGCAATGGTCTTTTTGAGAGAAATGGTGGTTTGGCCTAAACTGGGGGCAATAGATGGTGGTTTGGTATAGATATATTTCACAAGTGTAACCAATAGTTTGCTGCTGGATTTGATTCATACTGTGTAGGAGAGGGGAAAAAATATTTTTCCCTTTGAATTCTTGGCTGAGACTTCCTATAAGACAAGTTCAAAATCACCAAATTTTTATTAACATGTATACCTCATGTGTATATGAGAGACACTTAGGAAAAATGAATAAGCACCTCAAGATGACCCAAGCCACCACCTTACATATGATCTTTGTTGCTGTTCAATTGCTAAGTCAAATCTGAATCTTTGCCACCCCACGGACCACAGCACACCAGGCTCCTCTGACCTCTGCTCTCTCCCTCAGTTTTCTCAAATTCATATCCATTGAGTCAGTGATACTGTCTAACCATCTTATCCTTGGTCTCCGCCTTCTCCTTTTGCCTTCAGTCTTTCCCAACATCAGGATTTTTTCCAATGAGTTAGCTCTTCACATCAGGTGGCCAAAGTATTGGAGCTTCAGCTTCCGCATCAGCCTTCCAATGAATGTTCAGGGTTAATTTCCTTTAGGATTGACTGATTTGATCTCCTTGCAGTCCAAGGGACTCTCAAGGATCTCCAGGATGACAGTTTTAAAAGCATCAGTTCTTTGGTGCTAAGTGTTCTTTATGGTCCAACTCTCACATCCATACATGACTACTGGAAAAACCATAGCTTGACTATGCAGACTTTAGTTGGCAAAATGATGTCTCTGCTTTTTAATATACTGTCTAGGTTTATCATAGCTTTTTTTCCAAGGAGTAAGTGTCTTTTAATTTCATGGCTCCAGTTACCGTCCTCAGTGATTTTGGAGCCCAAGAAAATAAAATCTGTCAATGATGGTACCAGATGCTTAGATTTTTTTAATGTTGAGTTTTAAGTCATCTTTTTCACTATACTCTTTCACTGTCTTCACAAGGTTTTTTAGTTCTTCACTTTCTGTTAGAGTGGTATAATCTTCATATCTGAGGTTGTTGATATTTCTCCTGGCAATCTTGATTCCAGCTTGTCATTTATCCAGCCTAGTATTTCACATCATGTACTCTGCATAGAAGTTAAATAAGCAGGGTGACAACATACAGCCTTTCACATTTCTTTCCCAGTTTTGAACCAGTCCGTTGTTTCATGTTCAGTTCCAACTGTTGCTTCTTGACCTGCATACAGGTTTCTTGGAGACAGGTAAGGTGGTCTGGTTTTCCCCTCTCCTGAAGAATTTTCCACAGTTTGTTGTGATCCCCACAGTCAAAGGTTTTAGTGTAGTCAATGAAACAAAAGTAGATGTTTTTCTGGAACTCTCTTGCTTTCTCCATGATCCAACGAATGTTTGCAATTTTATTTCTGGTTCCTCTGCCTCTTTGAAAGTCAGCGTGTACATCTGGAAGTTCTTGGTTCATGTACTGCTGAAGCCTAGCTTGAAGGATTTTGAGCATAACTTTCTAACACGAAATGAGCTCAATTGTACAGTAGATTGAACACCTTTGGGGACTGAAATGAAAGACAAAACAAAGTTGTATGAGGGCAGCAGTTTGGGGCATGGTTGCCATTAGAAGTTTTCCAAAAAAATGCATAAGTAAACCAAGGTAAGGGACCTCCCCAGTGGCTCACAGGTAAAGAATCCACCTGCAATGCAGGAGATGCAGGTTTGATGCCTGGGTCTGGAGGATCCCCTGGAGAAGGGCATAGCAACCCACTCCAGTATTCTTGGGGGGAAAATCTCATGGACAGAGGCTGGTGGGCTATGGTCCATGGGGTCACAAAGAGTCAGGCATGACTGAAACCACTGAACACAATGCAGATTAAAGTGGGTGCTTTGTCTCACTTTTTTTTTTTTTTAAACAATTTAGAATTGTCCTCCTCTGCTTAGTATGGAAAGGGAGACATAAATGGAGCTTTCCTCTATAAGTATCTCTTACAAAAGTATAATTTTTGTTTTCAGAAATTCTGTCTATGCTATTCCTCAAAAATAATTAGTTCAAAATCATCCTTAGGACAAGAGTGGTGGCATAGTTTGGGAGGGCATGTTCAGCTACACTTCAACTGTGAAAGAACAAAGATATAAAGAAAATACTTGATTTAAACTAAAGTTTATTTTGACCTATTAAGTCAGTTACTATGTATTTTTTAAACATAGTATTGTATAAAATACTATACAAAAGGAAGAGCATTGTATTTTTATAATACATTGTATCTTAATAGAAAAATAAACCTTTGTCTCTCAATTTCAGAAATTATAAAGAATCTGACAAACTTTTCACATATACATCCATTACTAGTCTTACAATCACTAGCTGTTATGCAAAAACTCATGAAATCAGATAGGGAGGGAGGCTAGTAGTTAGTGGGAATTTTACTGATTTTTTTTTTTAAAGTAGAGAAGGGTTTGTAAAATATATTCCAGTTAACTAATGTTGGGAAAATATAATTTAAAACAAGAAAACTCATTATTGACTAAGCTTCATGCTTATTCAAACCATTGTGCCCAACACAGGCAATATTTTATTAAAGAGATTTCAAAAAGAGAAAAAAAACCTGTTACATAGGTAAGAGGATACATCCATTACATTAGTAGGCTTTGCAATCTGGAGTCGGAGCACTTTCCCTTGATCACATTTCAAAAAGAGGACTCTAAGGTCCTTGAGGATACATTCTTGAGATAGGAGGCTAGCCAAAGGGTGTTTTTAGCCATTAAGAAAATTTACATACCTTTGAAAAGGACCGAGAAAAAATTTTTGAAGGAGAAAAAGGAAAGGGAAGGGACCCTCAGGGATAATTAAATTCTTATTTTCAATTTATATTTGCCCTTACATTAACTTGAATTAACCTATACTAGCTATCTACCCCCTCTATAAAATATACTGAATTTTGTTCCTGTTATTTGAATCAGTTTTGTTTTTTCAAAACTTTTTATTAATTTCATAAAATGATAGTTTATAGGAGTCCTTTGAAAATTCTATAATGCAAGCTTGCTAAAAATAACTCACTGAAATAAAGAAAATCATTGAATAACAATAGAATTACATTCTAATGCTGAAAGAAGGGATTAAAATTTGTCAGAATTTAAGTAATAGTTAAATTATAAATATATTTTAAATTAGGCATGTATAAACAGGAATGTTTAAAATAATATTTTTTTATAAAGACTTTCTTAGAAAGACAAAGACTTTCTTTTCTCTATATTTGAATTTTGTACTATTCACTAATGAAAAATTAACTGATCTTCTAATTAATGAAAGTAAATTTTTAAAAAATTATATGTTACCTAGAAAAACATCTACAAGACAAAGACTCAGACTCAGTATTTTTCAGCTTAGGAGGACAAACTATTTCAAAAATAACAAATTTACCCTAATAAATGTATAGATTTAATACAGTTAAAGAGTACTAAAAGAATTGCATTCTTGCAGCTAGATAGGATGATTTTTTGAAGAATAGTATAATAGCAAAAATTAATTTGAAATAAACAATTGTGAGACATGAGTTCACTGGCAAATACTTATATTTCAACATTACCAAAATCTAAAACTCTAGAGCACTATAATAGATCAGAACAATAAAAACTCTAGAAACAATTTTAAGTGAAATAATAAACGCTCAGTTAAGTTCCTCCAATCAGTAGAGAAAGCATTTATTACGTTATACTTATTAGCCAGCTAGTTAATTTTTTAAAAGTTAATTATCTACACAGAAACCAAATCTAGATCATTATAGCAGTTTATTGAACAGTCTGTGAAACAAATCATAAGTACGAACACATGCATCGAAAACTATGCTCTGAGGATGAAGCGACTTCTAATTTGTGGGAAAAAGATTAAATATTTCTGTTTTCTGAAAAGTTATTTTGTATTTTGTTTTCTATTAAAATGTGTTTAGTTCCCAAAAAAATAAAAAATAAAAGTTAATTATCTACACAGAAACCAAATCTAGATTATTATAGAGTTCGTTTTTTTAACGGTTCTACACATTATCAGCAAAATAATAGGAACTTATTAAAATGAAAACTGACACTGCATAAAGAGAATTTAGCAATATACCTGGAAGGTCTTAAAATTCTCTATTTTATTAGAACATCTTGTTCCATTTCTGTAAGTTAGTATGTTTCCTTCATATTTTAGGAGAAAAACAAGATATAACATTATACAAATACTATTAGAGAAAGTAAAGATAAAAAGCACAATTTTTATTCTGTGCAGTTTTATGTATCATCTACAAGGTTAAGGTTTTGTTATTTAACGAGGATGAGGAAACACATTAAATGAGAAAAAGGGGAGAAATACAGCCTAGGCCTTGAGGAATCAAAATTCACTGGAAGAACAGAGGGAGTAATATGGCTGGGTTGCTTCTTTAAGAACCCTCCCCCAACCCAGAGGGCTTCCCGCCAAAGCACTTTGGGTTTTCATTCTGGTCCGCAGACTCTGCGCATTAAAGGGGCTGCGACAAACCGAAGGTACTTTACTGTTCTTGGGTCTCAAAATGTCTGGACGTGGTAAGAGTGGAAAGGGTTTGGGGACGGGGGGCGCCAAGCGTCACCGCAAAGTTTTGCGAGACATCCAGGGCATCACTAAGCCCGCTACTCGCCGCCTGACTAGGCGTAGAGGAGTCAAGCGCATCTCCGGGCATCTACGAGGAGACCCCCGGGGTGCTGAAGGGGTTCCTGGAGAATGTGACCCGGGATGCAGTCACCTACACCGAGCACGCCAAGCGCAAAACTGTCACCCGCCATGGATGTGGTCTACGCGCTCAAGCGCCAAGGACGCACCCTCTATGGCTTCGGCGGCTGAAAGGAAAAAAGTTTGATCTTACTTGCTTACTCAAAAGCCCTTTTAGGGCCCGCAAGTTTTCGTTCAAAGGTCTGAAAACACAATTCACAGAACACAAAAGATTTAGCAATAGCAGCCAATATTTTCCCCCAGAACGCTGCAGGGTTATACTGAGGTATTGTTTTGCCAATAAGGCATGAAATCAAATATGAGCTACTCAGGTCCCTAACAAAGTTGGAGTACGTGTTGAGTTCTTTTATATTGAAAACAGTTCCCTAGCAAAGTTGGAGTACGTGTTCACAGTTCTTTTATATTGACAACTTAGTGGCTCTTAAAAGAGCCTTTGTGGTGGGTAAGAGAGTGATTGCTGGACAACTTTACTTGGCGCTGGTGTACTTGGTGACGGCCTTGGTGCCCTCAGACACCGCGTGTTTGGCCAGCTCCCCGGGCAGCAGCAGGCGCACGGCCGTCTGGATCTCCCTGGATGTGATGGTCGAGCGCTTGTTGTAATGAGCCAGACGCGACGCCTCACCCGCGATGCGCTCGAAGATGTCGTTGACGAAAGAGTTCATGATGCCCATGGCCTTGGACGAGATGCCGGTGTCCGGGTGAACCTGCTTCAGCACCTTGTACACGTACACGGAGTAGCTCTCCTTGCGGCTACGCTTGCGTTTCTTGCCGTCTTTCTTCTGCGCCTTGGTCACCGCCTTCTTAGAGCCCTTTTTCGGGGCTGGAGCAGACTTCGCTGGTTCTGGCATAGCTGAAGAGACTCTCACCGTAGTCTAAAACACAAACCAGAAAAGGATGACAGAAGCGCAAAGTGCCTCTTTTACATAGAACCACCTATGCAAATAAGGTCATAGGTTAAAGTCTTAGTCGATTGGTGGCGGTTGAAGAATACGTCAGAAATTAGTTATGCCCAATCAGAACGGAAGAATTCCAATTTCTCATTCCCATTGGTTAAGATGAAGCCCACTAACCTAACCAATCACACGTCTTCTTTTTCGCGCCCAATTAGGCTTATAAAAGACGCTACACTTGTAATTATGCTACCGAATTTAACCGCGCTGCGCTTGTCGGGTACGAAATGTCTGGACGTGGTAAGCAAGGTGGCAAGGCTCGTGCTAAAGCTAAAACCCGTTCCTCGCGGGCTGGGCTCCAGTTCCCCGTAGGAAGGGTACATCGCTTGCTCCGCAAAGGCAACTATGCTGAGCGGGTAGGTGCTGGGGCTCCGGTGTACTTGGCGGCGGTGCTGGAGTACCTGACAGCTGAGATCTTGGAGCTGGCGGGCAATGCGGCCCGCGACAACAAGAAAACGCGAATCATCCCGCGTCACTTGCAGCTGGCTATCCGCAACGATGAAGAGCTCAACAAACTGCTGGGAAAGGTCACCATTGCTCAGGGTGGTGTCTTACCCAACATCCAGGCTGTGCTACTACCTAAGAAAACTGAGAGCCACCACAAGGCCAAATAAAGAGTTTAGGAAAAGTGAAGAAAACAAAGGCTCTTTTCAGAGCCAACCTACACTGTCAAAGAAAAAGCTGTGGTTACTGCCTGTTTTGAGTGGTAAGGTTGCAAGATGCTTACACTGAGCGTGTGAAGTAGTTCTGGCGTTTCAAAATACGGTCTGAATTGACGTTAACGTGGGTTAGTAAATTCACGAGAGGCTTACTTAGAAGCCGGGAGATGAATCAACAGGTAATTTCTTGACCAGATAACCCTAATATTGCCTAGTAGTGTTATAAGTAGTCAACATGGGAGGCACTGGTTACTTTTAGGAAACATTTAGCAGTATTGCGTATAGTAGAAAAATTCTTTGAGGAACATTTTGAGTAAGTGACCTGACTAAAGGATAGTTTATCAGGTGAAATCCTTGAGTTCTGCTTACTTTCATTTTCTTGAGGATTTATCCTAATGGGAAATTAGTTTGTCGATTAAAGTTATACAGTCATTTCCTAATCTCATGTAAATCCTTGAACCTATTTCTTTAGGATACACATATTCATTGAATGCACTCCTGTGTAGACAGTCAATGCGACTCAAAATCTGCCTCCCTGGAAGTTATCTGTTTAGTGCGTGCGTGCTGTCGCTTCAGTTGTCTACGACTGCGACCCCATGAATTTAGCCTGCAAGTCTCGGTCCATGAGATTCTCCAGGCAAGAATACTGGAGTGGGTTGCCATGCCGTCCTCCAGGTCATCTTTCCCACCCAGTGATCGAACCCAATGATCTTTCTTAGGTCCCCTGCATTGGCAGGCAAGTTCTTTACCACTGGTCGACCACTAGGTGAGGGAGCCATAAGTAAACACATAAATATGTAATACAATATTCTTGTGAAGAACATAGGGAGGAGTTAAGTAATAGAACATAATCAGGACTCATTTTATAAAATAACCTCTTTTAAAGGAGTTACCTGATCAGAGACCTACATAAATTGAAAAAGAAACAAGACACATATTAGAAAAAGAAAATTTCAAGTAGAAGTAATAAAGTGCAAAAGCCTTAAGACAGAAAATATGTTTTTCTTGGGAATAACCAGAAGGCCCATGAGGTTATGAACTTGAAGGGGGAGTGCCACTATAATATAGGACTTTGGCTGTGCAACTTAATGTGTATAAGTAATCAAAAACAATAGCAACCCTGATCTCTTGAGATAATAAATTTGATAATACAGATTAGCTAAATAGAAAAAGTATGAAATCCAACCCACTTAAAAAGAAAAAGACACCATAGAATAGTAGTGTCCTAACCTTATTATGTGGCTCAAAAACTGAAAGATTTTGGAGAACATTCTTTATAATTCAGTACAGGATTTATTTGCTATTCCTAGTCTTTGTTTGCAGAAGCCTTTTTGAATGAAATGATAGTAAAATGCAAGAGGCCAAGGAAAAAAACTATGATGATATAGTGGTGCAGGTTGGGTTCCCTAGAAGCAGATGCTTGAGATAGTTTGGGATTCAAGATGTTTATTAGGGAGCAACATTGGTAGAGGAAGGAATAGGACTGGACAGAGGATGTCAAACTGTAATACAGGCCAAACAAACGTGGGGAGCAATGAAGCCTATATTACCTTTCAGAGTTGCCCCACATTGGGTGAGAATGTTCCCCGGGTGAGCTTTTACTGCCCCACCTTGCTTTGCCACTGATGTGGACTGCACTAGGAAAGGGAGTGACTTGAGTTGGGTGGAACTCTGAAACTCTGGGAACACGGGAGACAAGAAGTGGCGCCTACCTACTCAGTGCGCTCTGCAGTAGGGCAGCAAGTCTTTCCTTGGTGGGGATCAGGCTACTGCATCTGCTTGTCTATGACATACATTAACATGAATATAAATATCAATGTTCAGTTCAGTGCTCAGTCATGTCCTACTCTTTGCAACCCCATGAACCACAGCACGCCTGGCCTCCCTCTCCATTACCAACTCCCGGAGTCCACTCAAACCCATGTCCATTGAGTCGGTGATGCCATCCAACCATCTCATCCTCTGTTGTCCCCTTCTCCTCCTGCTATCAATCTTCTCCAGCATCAGAGTCTTTTCAAATGAGTCAGCTCTTCACATCAGGTGGCCGAAGTATTGGAGTTTCAGCTTCAACATCAATCCTTCCAATGAACACCCAGGACTGATCTCCTTTAGGGTGGACTGGTTGGATCTCCATGCAGTCCAAGGGACTCTCAAGGGTCTTCTCCAACAACTGAACTGAACTAAACTGAAATGTCAATGTTGAGGCATGTCTATGATAGTATTTGTAAAACTGACTTTAGTATGCATAGCTAGTATTGTTTCTTTATTTTCATTGGGGGAACTTAAAAGAGATGTTTTCTTTTGAGGAAAATGAGAAAACTTTCTATAAATCTTTACTAATTCCAGGTACTCCAATAAGATTTTAGATGCCTTAATCATTGCAAATGGAAGGTGATATAAAACAATTATAAGGAATATGAGAGGGTCATTGGAATGGACCCTGATGCTGGGAAAGATTAAAAGCAGGAGAAGAAGGGGATGACAGGGGATGAGATGGTTGGATGGCATCACCGACTTGATTGACATGAGTTCAAGCAAGCTCCAGGAGTTGGGGATGGACAGGGAAGCCTAACGTGCTGCAGTTCATGAGGTTGCAAAGAGACTGAGCGACTGAACTGAACTGATGAGAGGATCTTCCACTGGGCTTCTCTCCCTTCTCCAGGTCCTTGGAAGGAAGAGCGTAGGGCACAGGCTTTAAAAGAATGACATAGCCATAGGACATGACAAAGACTGGTTAGAACCAACGGGATCCAAAGATGGCAGACGATTCAACTTCCAGGAGACTTTGAGCCTCATATGCTCATTGTAATATTTTAACAGTTAAATGACACACCCACTAGCGCCATGACAGTTCTGAAGTGAAAGTCACTCAGTTGTGTCCGACTCTTTGTGACCGTATGGACTACACAGTCTGTGAAATTCTCCAGGCCAGAATACTGGAGTGGATAGCCTTTCCCTTCCCCGGGGGATCTTCCCAACCCAGGGACTGAACCAGGATCTCCTGCATTACAGGCAGATTCTTTACCAACTGAGCCACAAGGCCAGTTCTGAGGCTAACTGAAAAAGGTCAAAAAGTGGGTGGTGGCCCAATTCCTGGAAATATCTGCCCCTTTCCCAAAATAACTGGAATAATCCACTCATTAGCCTATGAAATTACCCTGCCCATGAACTAACCATGCCATATTTATGGACTCACTGTCCCTCTCTCCCTTTCCCCTCAAGGCCTCCTAAGTTGGAGGTATAAGTTGAGGTACACAGCCATCCAGTTCTACTAGAGCAAAATGCTCTTCAAAGTCAGTCAAAACAGGCCCAGGATTGCTAGCCCTTTGTTAACTGGTCATAGGGAGTTTACCAAGAGGTTATAAAAAAGAATTGGTTGAAGGAGAGGCAGCAACACAGTTCTCATTGAGTTACACATGACTGGGATCCATGTGATCATTTTGGTCAGTTTTCTCTCATTGTGGTTTTCTCTCTATCTGCCCTCTGATGGGTGAGGATAAGGAGTTTGTACAATCTTCCTGATGGGAGAGACTGGCTGTGGGGAAAACTGGGTCTTGCTCTGGTAGGCGGGGCCATGCTCAGTAAATCTTCAATCCAATTTTCCCCTGATGGCTGGGACTGTGCTGCCTCCCTGTAGTTTGGCCTGAGGCGGCCCAGTCCTAGACTTGGCAGTCACTTTGGTAGACCACACGCTCTATGGTACAGGTAATGGCAACCGCCTCCCAGGACTGCTGCTGTCAGGGCCCCTGGCCCGCGACAAGCCACTGTCAACCCCCACCTCCAAACACTCACAGGCAAGTCTGGCTCAGTCTCTTGTGGGGTCACTGTTCCTTTCTCCTGGGTCCTGGTGCGCACAGGGTTTTGCTTGTGCCTTCCTGGAGTCTCTATTTCCCAGTCCTGTGGAAGTTCTGTAAACAAATCCCACTCAAAATCCTTCAAGCTAGGCTTCAGTAGTATGAGAACCGAGAACTTCCAGATGTACAAGCTAGATTTAGAAAGGGCAAAGGAACCTAACTACTGGACCACCAGGAAACACCCCCCACAGAGATTTTTTTTTTTTTTAATATAGGAAAGGGAGATGGTAGGGTTCCTGGAGCTATGCCCCTGAGTAAGAGACAAAGTTTTAAGTTTACTTTTTTTATAGAAAACTTATGAATATCAGAAGTAGAAAAGTCCATGGCATTGATAAGCATAGAGCCAGGAAGTTGTATAGGCCACCCTCTTTATCCTATTCAGAATCACTGTTGTAAATGTGTCAGACAGAACCCTCAGAAAGGCTTTCAGAAATAAAAAGCACAAGAAAAGAGGCCATTTTCTAGGCTTTGTGCCACATCACGGACTAGCAACAAGATTAGCTTTTCTCCCTCTGTATGGGGAACCACATGCAAATCAATCCCATTGCTAAAAACACCACAGCGGAAAATATGGAAAAGTACTTGTGTCCACAAATAGGGTGCTTTCTAAATAGGGTGAAAGTCCCTGAGGGAAAGAAAGGAAACAGAGGTCCAGCTCACACAAGCCTGAGACAGAAGCAGCCTGCATTCCCTGTAGAGCAGCATTTTCTTTCCTTCAACTTAACTGAACTCATTTCCTTGAGACTGAGAAAATCCCTAGCTCTCTTTCCAGATCAAATTAATACTGGGAATTCTTCAGCAAACTCGCCAGTAATTAGGATGGCTTTGTGCGATCTAGAAGGAAGGAGACAAAGAAAATCTCAGAAAATTAAGGACATCATTTTGGCTCTACTGAGAAGCATTTTATGGACAGCTGCTGTTATATGAACTTTTTGCTTTCATTTTCTGTTGATTCCTTCCTCTCCACAGCCCTACCTGATAACGTCCTCCACACACAATAAAGTCATGTGCTTGGCCACATGCTGTTGGGAGACTGCTCTCATAAAGCATTGGATTGGAATCTCTGCATATTCATTCATTCATTGTGGGGCCAAATAATATTCATAAAGAACTTAACATGGAGCCCTGGTGATAAGCTATTGAACAAGATGGTTATATCTTCTTGGAACACAGTGGGGGAGGGGAGGGAAGAAGGGAGGAGATTGACATTAATTTAGAATAACTCTGGTAACTAATTAATCATAAGAAACTAATATAGGGACATTGATGGAAAAGCAAAAAAAAAAAAAAGGATCATGGAACAGAGAAAATAAAATTTGACTTAGACTGAGAGGAATATATTGTATGGAGACAACAGGTCAGGAAAAACTTCCCCAATGAATTCAGTGAAAAGCTGAATGAGACAGGAATGAAATTTAACCAGGTATAGAGAAGAAGGGAAATCATTTTCTACCAGTGAAGGAGCACTCCAGGACTCTGACTCTAGGGTCAATGTTCGCAGAGCCATCTGTGACGGGGTGGGGGTGGACCATAGAGCTTCCAGGCCACACAAGAAGCACTTTCCCCTCTGGCAACCTAAACCTAGGTAAATGGAGAAAATAGTTTCAGTGAGATGTGAGCACCCTAGACACCACACTTTCTGACAGTTTCAACTGGGCAGGATGAGTCCTGGTGGGCTGAACTCACAGATGTATGGGCAGGATCGATCCATATTCGTTGCCTTGAACTGACTTCTGGCACCTGATATGAGGCCAGATTACACAGCAAGCACCCGAAGATTCTGACCAGTTTGGCCAAAAATGGGAATCAGTAAGATTCACTTCGAAGCAACCACCCTCCCTGTTCCATAGCTGGAAGTCTGAGGACCACGCTTTGTAAGACTAAGCAAGAAATGTGCATGGATTAGAAGTGGAAGTGAGAGTAGTGATTCCACAAGTGTTAGCAACCCAGAGAGGAGCCATCATGTTTGAAAAATTGCACGGAGTGAAACAGTTTTTGTTCCTTTTGCTTTGTTTGCCAGGAGAAAGATGTTGGAAAGTGGAACAGAGGATAAGGCAATTAACTGAGATGGCATTTCTAAATACAGACGGGAAACAAAGTGCCTGTTTCTATGGATGACGGGAATGGATGTTCCTGAGAAAAGAGCAGAGGAACAGCCCAGATGCAGGTGTTTCTTCATGGCTTGCTGTGATCGTATAGTGGTTAGTACTCTGCGTTGTGGCCGCAGCAACCTCGGTTCGAATCCGGGTCACAGCAGGAGCTGCATTGCTCATAAGCACCTCACTGTTTTTGCAACATTGCCATGGAGACAGCCTTGGAAATGCCTTTGCGAGACAGAAGACAAATGTTCTGCATCCTGCCCACACTGGCCAATAATGGCTGTCTTTTACACTCATAATTTATGGATTCTTAGGTTTCATATAGGATTCCACGGTGGATTTCATTTTCTTCCAGATTTATCTCTAGTCATTATAAAAGTCAAAGAGAAATAGGAGACAACCTGATGCTCCACACTGCCTCACAGAGCTACGCAGTATATAAAAGTGGATCTCTCAAAGAGAGGTCAGGGGAAAATCACATATTCTGTTTCATAAATAGCTATTAGAAGCCTAAGCTAAAGAACACGGAAACCTCACTGTTTGCTTTGGAGGTGGAGAAGAGAAAAAAAGATATATATAGGTCTCCTCAGCTGGTTCCACTGGGGATCGAACCCAGGACCTTCTGCGTGTAAAGCAGATGTGCTAACCACTACACTATGGAACCATGAGCTAGTAGATCCTCCATCCCCAGATATAAAAGTTTCTGGCAAAATATATCAGCAAATATAATTATTGATTCAAATATAGGTAGCTTTGAACACAGAAACTTTTGGTGCTTAATTACATTCTAATGCATTTCACTCTCACACAAGCATAAAATATCTTCAAGTTGCATCATTTGTAAACACACCATTCTTGATTTGTGCCCCTTTGAACTTCTAGACTAATCTATATTTATCCATTCACTCAAAGAGTATGTATGTTGAACATGTGGGCCAAGCACTTGTCAAAGTGCTGAGGATAGAGCAGTGCAACAATCAAAACCCCTGTGTATACACACCTCATCACCTTATCTTACCACACTGTATTTCCTAGCAAATAACAGGTGCTGAATAAATGTATCTATTTCAAACGAATTATAAACAAGATTAGCAGCACTCTCATGACCTCTGTTTTTTTCAGCTGAGTTAGCGCTAGACAATTAGGGGACTGCTCACGAAGTTAAACTTAGGATATCTGTGCGTTAATGCAGATGGAAGGCAAAAAAAAAAAAGTTTTCAATTGTAGGGGTTCAGAGCATGCCATTTCAAAATATTCTCCTCTGATATGTTGATTTTTTAACAGTTAACCACACTTGAAAAACAGCAAATGCAAAAAGGGCACTCTTACCTTCCTTTTGATTCTGAAAGCAGGAGATGAAACACAATATGCCCTCCCTGTACCAGGAAGAAGGAAGCATTCTTATTACCAGAGACTGGGGAGTCCAAGCAGAGAGAAATCTTTCCAAAAAAGAAAAACCTCCTTAAACTAACCCTTATCTTCCAAGTCACTTTTCCACAATTAACTGCCCCAGTCCAAACCCTTTAGTTTTGTCACATTTTCATGTTTGTCCAACCTAATACATAAGTGTTGGACTCTTAATTGCTTCTTTAAGTCTTCATTTTTCTTGTGAGGGCTCCCATGTACAACTTGCTTAATAAAATTTGTATGGGTTTCTCCTATCAACCTGGTTTATGCTAGCTTAATTCTTAGGCCCAATCAGAAACCCTAAGAGTAGAGAAGAAATTTTACCTCTCCTACACAATCTCTCTCTCCTCTCCCTCCTTCCTTGTAATATATTAGTGGTCTAACAAATCTTCAAATTCTGGGCCCTAATTTCCAGAGCCTTAGTGAAGAGTTGGGAGCCTTTTAGAAGTCAAGTCACTGGAGAGAAGGTTGTTTGAGGGTCACATAATCCTAGTTGTTCAAGGTCTTCTCAGTTTTCATTTCTATTTACAATTAATTTCCAGTGGGCATAAAAACTGATGGGCTTGGGCTGGTTATACCAAATTGGTGGTGGGCAAGGACCATGGTGGAAAGATGTACCTATTAAACACTGCTTACTAGGATTTTTTTTTTTCTAGGCTTTGCAGGTAAGGTATAGAATTATAGGAGAGCAAAAAATAACGAAAGAGCCTGAGCACAAGACAGAAACTCACAGGGTTTCTGGAACAAACATAGGGAGTTTCCAGTTCTTAATGAAAAGGATCAATCAATAAAACAAGCTCATGCACCAGAGCAAGGATTAAACCCAAGTAGACACCCAACTTACAAACTTTAATTTCAAAACCTTCCCACTCACCAATGACAGCAATAGGATTTTGTTCTCATATCTTTTCTGATAAGAAACCAAAAAGTATTTGTTTACAGTTTGGAAAGTCTAGGATTGACTTCATAGGCTCATGAAACATTGGCCCAAGCTTACAAGAATATAAACAAAAACCAAAACTTTGGAAGGCTCTTTGATGGGAAATTCATAAAATATAATTCAAAAAAGTATTTTCATAAAATTTACTATTTATGTGCTATGACTTGTGATGGGTTGTTAGAACTCTCCCTGACCTTGCAGATATATATATTCTAACAAGAAAAACACATAATTTTACTAAATACCTAACTTCATGAAAATACAAGGAGGCTAAGTTAAAGGAAGTATAGGATGCTACATAACCATCAACACATTCTGAAGACCCTTACTAAACCAAAACTTTAAGCACTAGAAGACACGCCTCCACAGACTGTCATATAAAAAACCAGTAGACATCCCTATATGGCTAGACAGATCATGTCTCAAATTTAAAAGAAGAAAATCTATACTTTTTTAAGAGAGAATGTTTTTTAACCTAGTAGTGAGAAAAATCCTTTAAGCATAACCTCAACAGCACAAACCACTAGGGGGGAAAAGGGCAGAAGATAGGAAATACGGTACACATTATGGAATTTTACACAGAAATTAGAAGCAATGATTTAAGTGTATACCGGGCAACTTTGATGGATCTTAAAGTCAAAATGTTTTTTAAAGGCATAAGTATATAATATATCATGTATATAAATTTATATGTGCAAAAACCAAAAATGTCCATTTCGATATATGTGTGTGTGTGTGTGTGTGTGTGTGTGTATGTGATCAAAATAATACACAATGAACAAATTAGAAAACTTGTTTCTGTAAGGACAGGAATGGCAGCAGGACATAAGGACAAAGGGAATGAATAAATCTTGTTGTAAGAAAGGGTGAGAAGGCTACACTGGCAGAGAAGAGCTGGTGGGTGCCCAGAGGAAATCAGGTAGATTTGTCACAGGATCTCAGTGATTTCTCTGTTCTCCAGGGTCTTTCATTTTGTGGGTGCTCAGTGAATGCATAAGCCTTCAATGCTTCTCCATAAAGCACAAAACACAAGGAAGTTATTTAAACATTTCCAAAAGATGGTCTCATCTGTTCCTTCCCCACCTTAAGCTGTATTTGGCCAACATGCCACAGACGCTTCTGCAATCATCAACCTGACACCCAAACTGGGAAGAGACGTCATGTGACTCTGCTAAGACACCCTGCACCTTGCCTCCTGCCTCCTGCGGGAAGTATCTACCACATTGCACCCTAATTTTCCTCACTTCCCTGAATCCTTCACCCACTTTTACAGTCAATGAAGACAGAGATCAAGTCAGTTTTAACTCACTGGTGCCATGAGCAGAATCTCCTCTGCATCAGTGTGTCCTTATCTTTGCTCGCTTTCTTGTGCCAGGTCAGATAAAATAGAAGGAAGCATGGTAGTCTTGCTCTTGTGCAGTGAATTAGCTCAGAAAGTAGCATCATAGAGTCTGTAACCTGGAGATTGGGGAACTGGTGCTTAT